ATCCTTCATTTTCAAGTATAGCCTCACAATGTCTCTAGGAATGCTTTTGCTCAATTTCTCCAACTTGAGGGATGGTTTCACCCCTTAAAGTAACGCCTCAGCCGATAACAAAAATTCGTATCCCTTATGTTTGATCATTCCAACGTTCTTGTGGGACAGCTTATACACGTATTACGACGAAATACAGTCACTGACGTTCGGTTTACCACCCCCCACCCTCCTTTTGTTTCTGGTGGCTCGTTAAAAGCGACGTTAACCGTCGTCGCCGTGGGGCCCACACCAGTGGTTTCGATTAGATACACGCGAACGTACGTCAGAACCGGTGTATTTCAGTCGCGAGGTAATTTCCCGCGGAACACGCGACGCTCGGGAAAGGATCGTCTTAACGTCGTCGGTGAGGGTAAACGAGGTCTCTTGGTGCCGTGGATTCTGCCTCCAATTATCCCTCGGGGCGATCCTCGCGTCTAGACGGAGGCTTTAATTCATAATACGGTCGGTTCCGTGATCTTCTCGCGTCGGATTCGAATCATTCTCCGGGACAACGTGGCCCATGCCTTTGATATCGAACATTATTAGTCTGAATATAGTCGAGACCCACGACTCGTTAAGGAAATTCATTTTCAGTTCGTTATAACTAAGACTTAGAAAAATTGGGAATTTCACGATATTGCAATTACAATGTACGTTTGAACGTAAGTAGAATTTACACTTTGACAAACAATTTGAACAAGATTGACATCTTCGCGTCTAACACAAATTTTAAGTCTGATTTACACAGTGTTTTCTACGATAGGGTAGCATAGTCTTTTAAATCACAGATTGTAAAAAACGGTTTCCATCCGTATCAACTGAATTAAATTATATTTAACAGTAGATTCTCTTACTTCGAACCGAAACCCATATGAAGAACTAAGACCAAGAAAATAGTGTACGGAACTTCACAAAACATCGGCCACCGGCGGTCGAAACAGCGTCGAGGTTCCGCGAACCGCGAGAATAAACAAGGAAAGTTAATTAATACAGCGTGGCGTAGTTGCTAGGTGGAATGGGGTGGCGTAGCTCGGTTCGATCGCAGGTTGTCGAATCGTTTTCATAAAACGACACTCGGACACACAGCAGCCTAGTTACACGTTGGTGAGGGGGTGGCACGTCTACAGGCAAGACGTAATCAGTCAGTGTACATGAAAGCGTGACCTAAGCCTTCGTTACTGCACGTGCATGCGCCATGAAATTGCATTAGTGATCACTGCATATTGAGGCAGACTGTGTGCATTCTGACCTGTGCACACAGGGACGCGCAACCGGGCACACGTATGCACGAGGGGGAGGGGGTATGGTGTACACTCGCGCGAGAATTGTATGAAACCCCAACTAGATATACACGGTGTGTCTATTTTAACGATCTCATCAATTGCGAGCCGGCCAATATTGTATGCCGAGGCCGTTGCTCTACAATCGATTTTCACGCCACGGCCGAAAATCATCTTCGAACCTCCTTCGACTACCCTTTTTCACCTTTAATCCTAAAACGCCCAAGGGGGAGGCTCCTCGAGTCCACAAATTGAATGGCGTAAAATTATAACTATTTCCCGTCTGCAAACAATTCTGAAAAAATTCTTTATTATCGTATCTTACTAATTATTTATTCGTCGATCCTAGAAAATTGTCAGTAACGATCCTTAATTCCTACAAAAGTGAATACAGATTTCCTGAATAAATGGTACATCACTTATCAGTACAGCTAATAATCGATACAACTTTCATAGAACCCTCTTCTTTACCATTTCAACTGGGCCATTCATCGATCCAAAAATTCCTAACATTTTCTCTTACGCACCATGTAAACAAATGAAAATAAAAAACGAGTAATGAATCGCACAATTAGTCCGTGGTCGCCCTTTCAGGAGCGAGAATAAGTCCAAAAAAAAACCGTGTCGAGCGAGAAGTTTCCGCGAACCAGCCGAGTGATTTATTTAGCGGAAGAGACACGCTGGCTTTATTGGAAACACGTCGTGTCGGATATCCGACGAGGCACTGTGGATAAAGAAACGGTGAAGCTGGACCCGAGATGAATTTCAATTATAGTCCGACCAGTTCGTAACGTCTTCTAACATATTCGATTTTTGGACATTTTTAAAAACGTGGTCCATCTCCCCTGGACTTCCTCTGTATTCGCAACACAATGGTATACTTTATTTTAACATAAACAAAGTACACCTAGAAAATTTCAGTCATGCTCCCGTTCTCGATGGGATTATGTCGCGGCGAGGTCGGTTAGCTTTCCAGGTAATTCTCTAGGTTAATTAATCGCAACGAATGGTTTTTTTTTTTCGCTCGTGTTAACGCGCAATGGACGGTGAGCTTTCGCGGGCTTGGATCCACGCGAAGGCCATCGTCGGACGCAACAGACGCTGCGACAGAATCGGCGTTTCAATGGCGCAGAAATTGGGAAACTTCCCGGATGCTTCGGTTTCCCTCCACTGGCCTGGAAAAAGTTCCGAACGTGTAGCCTCTGTTTTTATTGGACTAAATAATTACCGCTGCCTGTTCGACGTAACAACGTACGCCTTGTTCTCTTCTCAAACGAATCTTCTCTGACAAATGTAATCGATCGAGACTCGAAGTATTTGCGTAAACAGAGTGAATAATTTAAGGATACTTGTGTCTTTTTTTTTTTTATACGACGTCACAGGGCGTGTGTTACACGTAATAATCGCGAGGGTAGAACAGAGCGGATGATTAAGGTGACAATTAGTCCGCTGATTAATTTTAATAGATCGTTACGCGAGCCTCGTCGGCCGACCGTGATGCCTGATAAAGTTTTCAGGAAAAACAACTTTTACGACCTGCTCCACGGTCGCATGGAACTCGTTATGGTAGGGGAAAATTCGCAGGAAATTTATAGTTGGGCAATCCGTATGAATTTCGCGAACTGGAGACAGAGAATTCCATTATGATTAAAGCGAGCCTTTGAGATTAATACTCCAATCTATTTCTAACAACAAAAACAACTGTTAAAATTTCAAATTACATTTATGTTTCTTAAACCTTTTATAAAAATAATTACTTATTCTTATCGTAATTTAAAAACCATTTATAAAGCGCCAAACGTCTGAAAGCCCAGTAAATGCTACATTTCTGAAATATTTTTAACAAGAATTGTACTTAGGAATGTTTGTTTAATACTCTAAACTAAAAATATAGAATATTAGAAGTGCAACTACACTCCATTTATAAACACTTAATAATTCTAAATTTATAATTTACATTTCTTTCCCATTCACTGGTATGCAGTCAATTACTTTACATCTCCTTTTCCCAACGCAATTTATTCCGCCATGAAAAAAATAGATAGGGGGCGACAAATTTCATTCGTAAGTTCCAAAGAGCACCGCAGACAACGGGGGGAGGGATTCTCTGTGGCGACCAGTCGAGAGACCATCGCCCGGAAGTTCATCCCCCGTCGAATCTCGAGATAATTCACGAAGGTTTAACGCGACGTCGTCGAGTGGTTAGTATGCAAGCCGCGGTGCCGTGAAACAGGCTCTCTTTTTCTCTCTCTTGCGTCTATTCCACCCCTTCCTTCGATTCTACTTGGCGGCCACGCGGCGACGGCCGTATGCAAATTCCTTGGACGGATCCGAGGGATGAGTGGAAAGAGCCTTTCCTCGCGTACAGACTTCTTTTCAAGATTCTTCTGTGAAGTCAGGCTCGAAAAATTCTTCCGTCCTGTAGAATCGCTGGCACTTTCTTTTTATTGTTTACCACTGTGGAATCGACGATCGAAGGAGGATCGGTGTAAGGGTTGAAATTTGTAGAAAATTCGAGGATAAAGGAGATTTTACCGAAGATGTGATTATTAGACTGCGGATCTTTATGGAAAATAGCATTCTATTAATGTAATTTAAAGGAGAGAATTGAAAACGGAAACTTCATTTTCCTCTTAGGTTGTTTAACGTGTTAGGGGTAAAATGAAAACTACATTATACCTGATGGAAGTTTTGGCTTCTATTGGATTTCGTATACTCTTCCGCTGTCTAGTGATTATGTTGGGTGATCATTACACTGCGGATGTTTATATGCTTTTTTTAAGGGACCGTACTAAATGACCTGTAATTAAGTTATTCAGACTTTAAGAAAGTAATAAATATTTTTTAAATATAAATGAGTAGGTATGTCAAAGGCAGATACCAACAAGTATTACAGTTTCTTTATAAAAAAAAAGTGTAAAGAAAGCCTAAAAAATGGCCTTCTAGAATAGAAGACCCCCCTTGGCGATAATTAGAACTATACTACCACTTACGAAACATAACAAGAATAAACTGAGGAACCATTTGGCTGTAAAAGAACATTCTATTATAAGATGCCAATACGTATGTATCTTAAACAATGTTTCCACGTGGCCGTTGAATGGATAGAGTGGACTATACCGGAAAGAAAAATGCTCGAATTGGTAGCACACGGAGGAGACAGTGTTAAACGGAACACAAAGGCAACGTTTCACTGGATCTTGAATACCAAAGGGTATCTACACTCTTGCGGACGCGTGCCACGCATACGCGACTAAACCCTTCCCGTCGTAGAGATAAGCCTCGGGACCATCCCCTAATGGTGTTCACGTACCACCATGGGAAACACCCTCCGTATAGGATAACCTATCCGACAGACGGCGAGCCCATGGACTCTCGACGCGGAATGAGGGACTAGAGCCGGTGGACGGCATTCTATGCATTTTAAACGGCCATGAATTACGGTTCCCTCGATCGTCACACGTGTAACAAAAGTATCTGGAATCCTCCTTACTCTTGTCCTCGTGGACTCAATACCTTGAACGTGGAAAATCATCCCTGAATCTTTAGTCTTCTAACCCTTCTGTTTGGTTTCCATGCTAAGTAACCAATTCTGAATATTTGTAATAACTTTGACTCTAGTAATAACTAGATAACTTCTTTTTCAAGTTTATCTAAAATATACTGATTGATACCATTTTTTGCTTTCAGGAAGAACAGCTCGACTCTCGACAGATTCCATTTGCAAATTTCCAGAACGGAACTGTACCCAGCCGACTCGAAGTATGCGGACCAATTGCTGCACGAAATCGCGACGAAGCCTATCGTCCATGTTGGTGAGTTTCTTTGAACATTGTTCATTTCAATTTAATATTCTCTGAACACTCGGGTAAGGGATGATTCTAAGTGAAGAAATAAGTCGAAGATATAGAATAAAATTTAGCTCATTTGTGACTTAATACGAAACGCGTCTGTATTCGTCACGGTGGTAAGTGGAAACGGATTGCAATGAACAGACGAGGTAGCCGATCCTATTCAATTACACGCATGTCAACAGATTTTCTCGAAAACGAAGTTTCGAATGAACAAATTTTATTTTTTCACGTCCAGTGACTCATATATTTGTTCACATACTTTCGAAATAACAATTAAATGTAACAATTTATATACAATGTCAATTTTGAAATATTATTCTCTGTTTAGTACGTAATTCGATGAATGAAAGTTAACTGCTCTCCGTGAACAATTTTACGAGTCACTGTAAAATCACCTTCTACCCTTATAGTACCATCAGTTACACGTGACCCTGCATTTCAAGATCTTCGCTATTGTCATCAAGTCTTATCTTTCTTTGGAACGATATTCCAAGAAACACATTGACGATAGTTTTTCATCTACGGACTTTGCACAACGAGAATGTAAACTCTTATTCCTAAGAAATCGATGGTTTATCACGGTATTTCGGAAATGTTCAAGCTCTACTGGCCAGCAGAGGCGTCCAGTAGAATCGGACGCCATTGACCAGACATCCTATCTCGAACGCAATGCATAACAATCGAAATTCCTTGTCTGGTCGATGTTGATCTCGTTTCCCTCCCCTCCCTTCCGTGAGGTTATAACGGCGATCGAACCCGGTGTAATATAAATTTTCGAGCGACAGCGCACGCAATTCGTGCTCGGAATTTTTCCCCCGGCGAAATAATGGATGGTAAGCCGTAGACCGTACGTGGACCTTTATTAAATTTTACATCTAGCTCGAAACAAATCGACTTTCTAAAAGTGGCCCTCGGCTCCTCAAGACCGAACGTAAGCTCGAGGAACTTGACGAGAAATTAACTTATTCTTTCGAGCAAGAACGAAAGAATAAAAAGAAAAATTCCTTTGTTTACCGTACACTCGAGAGTCTGGAAGTAAAAGTAATTAGGAAACAGAAACATAACTTCATGCTTCAATATTAATGGGCTAGGAAGTAACCGAGGATGCAGCAAGAAGAAGATGAAAGTTAAAGCTCCTTTACATTCCTCTTTAACTTGCACGAAAACTTTCCTATTAAATAATTACACGACACGGAACTTTCGGGATCTATAAATTTTGAAGCAAAAATTTATATTATCAAGTGATTGTGATAAGTGCTTCCCTTTTAATTAGGGATCGGTTTCTGGAAACGTCGAAACCCCTCGAAACCCAAAAGAGTTCCGAGTCTCGAGAATTCGAAACATTGCAATTTTGTTCGTAATTTGAAATTCTCAAAACCCAGGTAAGAAAAAATATTAAATCGATTAAAATTTTTTATACAAAATCAGCGCTTCATGTTTCGAGAGTTTCGGATTCGAGTTCCGAGAATTTAAATATTAGGTTCCAACCACTCTGATTTTAAATAATACCTATTTTTCCGGATGAATTACACAAAATGACACTCGCAGGATTTCGATTAGTCTCGAAACGGGTGGCCGATGCAACAAATGAAAAGCGGACAGGAGTGGGAATTAGACGAGAACAGGCATAAAATTAATCTGGAAACGACGGCGTAATAATCTTCTCTGTTCGAATTAATTTCTCCCCGGTCCATGAAGCCGGTCAATTAACCGGCGTTATTGTGACCGTGGCTTTGTGCTTGGTAATTACTGCGACGCGGTTCATTGACTAACAATGCCGCCACGGTCGTCCGTACCGAAAGAGCCGAAACAGACGGCCGTCGGTCTCAGCGCCGTAACGTTTTAAAATTAGAACTGGCACGGCGTTTGCACGCCCAATTTCCGGCTTGATCGTCGTGTCGACTCTTGTTCGATTATTTATATTCGCGACGCATATACACACACACAACTATTTTTTTTTTTTTTGTAACTTGTACTCTGATCATTTCTGTTGTCATCCCAAATCGTTTGCAATTCGACTTCAGACACTTTCTGACGATGAATAATTAAATCTTTTTCACACTCGAACTACAAACGTTGAGTGTATTCTATTGTGATTTTGGATTACATCAGGCACAGGTGGGCAAACTCATTATCTAGATATAAAAGTTTCGAATAACGAATAAAAGATAAAGAAAAGTATTTCGTTATTTTTAATTGTTTGAACGTGAAAGTTTCAATTTTTATAATAAAATAATCTTTATGAATGAAACGACATTTGTCGAACAATTATTTAATCTCATTGAGTGTTTAAAGCTCTGAACGACGCCCTTAGATATTGCTGCTTTTCATTGTGTATTACTCGAATAAAATTCTGTCCAACTCTGGCGTCAGAGAATCGGTTTAATTTCGATTGCGTTCAAACGCGATCACCATTTGTTAAACAAATCGCAGGATGAGACGGCAAGGGAGGGAGGCGAAGTTAAATCAGCGCCAAGGAGGTCCCCCACGGTTGCCAGGGACGCAATTATTAGGCAGTATCGGGCTGTGCAGTAGGAAATTAGATCGTCGATCAAAAGGCAAGAGGACCTGGGACACAAAGACGGGGCGTCTCAGTGACAAAGCGGGAGTCGATCCAAGTTGCTAAACAATAATTAAATCGCGCGTGAGAGGGAGCCATGCCTCCATTCGATACCCTCCTGACGATAGCTGATTCCGATACGTAATCACGATCCACGAAATTGAACGTTTAATCAGCGAGAAATCTCGACGAACGAGACTCGCTTTTACACTTCGCCACTTTCGCGAAACTTTTCCCCCACCACTCCCGGGGGAATTCAATGACGGAAAATTTTTGTTTGTCACTGCCTGAACACCTGATTTTCCATTTTACAATCTCGTACTTACGTCGGTTCGTTTGCATATTTAAGAACTTTGAAATTTCTTGGGAACTTCTCCGTTCGCCGCCCCCTTCCCCTTCGAATCGCAGGCAACGCCGTCTTTCGAGTTACTTCTCGAGGAATATTAATTTTTTTCGATTCGATTAAGTGCCACTTAACGTTCAACGAACGCTCGAGAATATTCCGACGAAGTTTTCCTTCAATCTATTTTTCCAATATTTCCCTGACCTTTCACCTTCGAAAGCAACCTTCTTCCGTCGAGTTCAAGGTGAACCTTTTGCTCGATATTCTTCGAGTATCAATAGATATTAACCGAAGGGCGGAGACGGCCGTGCAAGCACTGACACCGCCTCGCGGTGCGAGACATAGACCCATGATTAGGATAGCTAGTTAGGGAATCCGATTTTCGGGGCCTACAACACGGCCGATCACCTGCACATTGCAGAGTGACCGGAAATAACGGACTACGCGAGAAAAATAATAAGTACTCGGTATACATTACAATTATTTTATTTTACAATGGGTTTGCAGCCATTGGCTCGGCATTATCCTCGATTTACAAAACTATCGAGGATAACACCGATTACCAGGTCTCACCACGTGGAGGTTGCTGCATGTGGAGACCCAAGGAAGATAGATGGAAACACAATTTCCATCTATCCACCTTTCACAATAATTGTACAACTAACTTAGATATCTAAATACGCTTATATTATAAATATCTAAATCTCTCGGAGGATGGCTTCTTTCTTGAGTTTATTTAATTAAAATAAATCAAAATAAACCATCGTTAATTAAAACAAATCATAATGAAACTCAAGTAATTATAATAGATCAAATTTAACATAGTTAATTACAATAAATTAAAATAAAGCATAAGTAATTAAAATGAATTATATTAAACACAATTAATTAAAATAAATTAAAATGAAACAATTAAAATGAATTAAAATAAAACACATATAATTAAAATAAATCAAAACAAAGCACATAGAATTAAAATAAATCAAAATAAATACATATAATTAAAATAAATCAAAATAAAACACATATAATTAAAATAAATCAAAATAAAACACAAGTACCTAATTATAGTAAATTAAAATAAAACACAAGTACCTAATTAAAATAAATTAAAATATAACCCAATTAATTAAAATAAATCACAATAAAAAAAAAAATAAAAAAAAACGAACCCCTGAGTCGAGTTCGGATAATAGAGAGGACCCCTTGAACCCCCCTTGACCAGTGTCCACCAGTGGTCAGCAATCGTGGGAAGACCTCGTCGAGTTCGGATAATAGAGAGGACCCCTTGAACCCTCCTTGATCAATGTCCACCAGTGGTCAGCAATCGAAAGACCTCGACGAGGTCCGCGGACGCGAGTGAACTGAGGATTTTTCATTGCGCGCTCATATTTATGGGCTCTCGGCGACCGTGAACTTGCGCGCACCGGTGCGCGGTCAGGTGCGCGAACATTGAGTGCACTGGAAACTCGAGCACACCAAAAATTATTTCTCGATTAATTTATTATTTCTAATAAGGTAATTGTTATAAGAATTACCTCTCTGAGAAATATTGTTAAACATTCTGTCAGCTGTCTTGTAATGCAAATTGTTATTGTTTATAACAAATATAAATCGAAATATACAGAAACTTTCAAGTAAATTCGTGACAGAAAATGTTGTATCTTCACATATAAAATTGTGACAGAATTTGTTCGACTCGTTGCACAACGCTGTCCACCTGTCAGAGTTAATTACCACGCGATGGCATTGTTCCTGACTCAGTTTTGTTAATAACCAATTTCATCGATAATGGTCGTCGACGAAATGAGGCTTTTAAGAAACTCTGGTTAACGAAGAAAAGATAATTGCCTTCGGTAATACGGAGTAGCGCGGCTCTAAGTAGTTCGAGTCAATAACTTCCGCGACGCGACAGGAGGTCGACGATTAATTGTTCCGTGTGATAAATTGACCGTGGGTAACCCGCACGGCTGGTACCTAAATTAGGCATATATCATTTATGAAATTGACACAGTGGACGAGGAACGATCGATACACCGCCGTGTATCTCTGCCAGGAATTTTTCACGTTGACTTTCCGCTGTGTGCGGAATTTCACGTTATAATGGTGTCCAATTATTCCTACTATATCAACTTTAATTCTTCTTCATTCGGTAGATATATCCTGAGCAGATTTCTGAAACAACCTATCAGCAACAAATGCACAAACTAGAAAACACAAAATTATCGAACGACACTTGTGAAGTAATATTACTGTCACATTATTTCTACCTCAAATTCAATTCTCCTTACTTCAATCGATATATCTGAATAGATTTGTCGAACTATCAAAGTATCAGCAACAGATGCAAGAATTAAAAGCAACTGTGGAAACAATTTATCGAACAATATTTATGAAGCGTTTCAGAGCGGTTAAAAGAGCCTTTTCGATAGAACTCGATAGATGCACTTCCTCTGATTATTGCTTGATATACCTCGATACCAGGCGAGTGCAATTAACCGCGACTTAATCGCGACGGGACCAATTGAATCGCGAAAATCTCGATCGTTCCGGCTTCGTCGAACCGAGACAAGTCCTAAGCAATTTGCGTGTTCCCGGCTCGCTCGACCGGATAATCGAGCCTCTTTTTCCGCTATACTGGAGAATAAACAATCGAATCTTTTTTTTATTGTTCGCAGCCCAAAAGGAGGGTGGAACGCAGCTGAAGCTCGAGATTAAATATTCGAACATGCAGGCGCTTTTCAAGCCTATGAGGTGAGTGGAACGATTATTTTCACATTCTATTCGAGGACTGTCGAGGTGACTCTAAGTGGTTAATCAGAAACAATGAGATTTTCTAATCCTTTCAATCCCATTATTACCATATGGCTACGTATTCTAAATTGCGAAATAAAATATTAGTATCATGTATTTTTCTATATCTGTGAGTATATAATAGTTTCTTCTAGTCTTTTACAGTTATCAGTAAAATAAGACATTACTGGTCCTTTGTCTATGTTATTTGATGGAATTCAAGTACAAATACAATTGAAACTTACGGAACTCTAATTTCTTTCGAATATTTCAAGAGGGTTCATTAATCGAAAATAAGAAAAATGAAGTTTTATTATGTATAATAAGATTATAATGGGAATTATTATATATAACTGTGATAAAAGATGAAAAACGCTATTAACCCGTTTCAAAATGTTAAAATATTCGTGTGAATCATTCGTAGATTATAAAATATTTCTTTCGTAGTTTGTAAATAATTTTGGGATGAAAGGGTTAATCGAAGTTCGAAGTTCCTCGAAAAACGGAGACGCTTATCTCAAATGGAACGTGTGCACAGCTGTAACTAACATTTGGCGAGGGTAGAATGCACTGGTTGGCGTTACAAATGAAGTCGCGAAACTTCGGGGATGAAGATAAGAGAGGGGAAAGTTTCGCGCCTTGGGACAAGCTTTACCCACGGATTATTTTGACGGTAATCGAATCCGCGAGACTCGTTCCGACCCATCCGATAAAATCAGGGGTGGAGGAGGGAACGAACATTGTGTTGGACACCGTCGATGTTAGTTCAGTAGGGGGTGGATTAACAATTTATTTAATCGTCGAACTTTGGCAAATACCTCGGCGCAGCCGCTGCATTTGTACCCTTCAAACTTGGCGAATGCGCCCTCCAGCGTTGCTCGTAACCGAGAACAAAGTGCATTTTCGAAAGAAAGTCGATTCTCAGTGAATTTTCTGCGAATCGTCTTTCGCAGAAAAATATTCTGTCGATTTCGAATAGATTTTGGCATTGTTCTTTTTCTGAATTTTCTATACCTAACCCTTTCATTCTCAACGATTACAAAAAAAATGTTTTAATTGTTTACTTTCATCACAGTTTTGTAGAATAAGTGAGTTTGGAAAGTTGCTATACATAATGGAACAAATTTTCCTTGACTTTGATTAGTGAAAGAAATTCAGGGTTCTATATAAAACTAGAAAAAACTATTATATGTATACTCAAAGGTATGAAAAAATACACAATACTAATACTTTATTTTATAATTTATAATTCATACTACAAATTATAAACTAAAGTATTAGTATCGTGTATTTTCAGATTGAAACGTTAAGTATTTTTTGATAGGAAGGTTTAAGTTTGTTTCAAGAAATTAAACAAAATTTCGCATCAATTTTAGCGTTGTTCCATTCCTCTTATTATTTCAAATGTTTGTGGTCTTTTTACCTATGCCTAATTCTAATCGTGCCTGCGATAGGTCAAATGTCCTCTGGGATTCCTAATTACTAAAAACAACTTACACAGACGCGTTGCGAGTCGACCGAGCCTCCGGAAGTCAAGGTCCTTAGTCTTCACGAATGACGGCGCGAAGATAGGGCAGGAAAGTTTCGTATCTAGAGCTTGCAGCCAGCCGAGAATTGCCCGGGTAGTTTGTCCGTGACGTGGCCCCTCGTCGCGAAATCCTAAGGGATCCACCAGTGGACTCGATCTCGTAGATTCGCCACGGAATTAACGCCGAAACGGCCCGGCCTGGCAGGAAGTTACCGAGTCGAAGCGATTGGCCGACAGGGTGAAAAGTGACTTCGAACATTCGAACCTCGTTACGCGATATATAACGATCTTCACTTCGTTAACGCACGTGTTTCATAGAAAATGAACACATTGTCCTTTAATAGAGTTGAATTTCCAGTTATGGAATAAAGTATAAAACACTTTTAAAATTTTACAAGAGGCTTCGTTCTGCTACACGTTGCAGAATTGTCGAAGAATCTAAGGTTTATAAGAAGAATACAGCTATGTACATATTATTGTCCAAAAGTATAGGACCACTGCAAATTATTGCCAGTCTGTTTTAACACATTACTTTCGTCAAATTATATAAAAATAATATTATCCTGTTTCTTTAATTATCAGACCTGGTCCCATACTTTTGATCGGTAGTTATATACAGAGTGAACCACGAATCGTGATCGATAGAGATTACTCTGTTATTAGCAGTCCGATCGAAATTTTCCCCAATAAAACAATAGGCAGATCTGCAGCCCGTTTGTCGAGGGTGGGAATCGGTACAGGAAGCACGTTTTCTCACGGAAAGGCATCATCCACCGACAGCATTTCACCCGAGTCGAGTTGTTCTCGCGGCCCCAGGGCAAAGAAGTGACGCGTCCATAGAGTCACGATCACCAACCCTCGATGGCTTGTTCTCTGTCTCTCGTCAAGTCGTCGTGAAAGCGTTTCTGGGTCTCAGACAATGGGAGGATGTGACGTATCGCGGTTTTCTGAAGGGAGAAAGAGACAGGGAGACAGCGTGCAACGATAATTGAGTAGAAGGGGCAAGGACAGTTCGAGTGGCTCTCTCACGGCACGAGGCACTTGGGCCTCCACTTATGTAATTGTGCTCGTAATCCCATCCACGTAACTTCGTCAGCCCCAGAGAGCAGGAAAAACCGCCCAGGCGTTCGTCGAGTGACAGGGTGAAAAACGAAAACGATAATTTCCCAACCACGTGGTTAATAGTATCTTTTTTTTTTTTTTCTTTGCCTCGATCGAACCTCGTTACTTGTCCCTCGGGGCTCGATTTCGCGAGTTTCCTCTCGACGCCCTCTTCTTTCACTCCTGTTCCATTTAATCCAGCACTTTTTCCGGGATTCCTCTTCGTCTGATCCTTGAATTGAATCTCGAGAGTAATGGATTATGAATATTTTTTGGAATTAGTGATCCTATAGCAGATGAAGACAATATGTTTTTTTTTTTTTCTTTACAAGTAAGCATTGATACATGAATAATACAACAGAACAAATTGTACAGACACGTAACAATCTCGTTAACAAAGACTCGGATAACATTTTTTCTAAAGAAAAACTTATTCCAAATCACCTCACGAGTGATCCATTTCAGGTATCTACAACACTTTCGTTACACCCTGTAGAGTCCCTCAAAACTAATTCACACGGTTCCCAATATCAATCTTGAACAAAACAAATCCCAAGAATATTTTATTGAAACTTTCGTACCCCAACTCGTAGACAGTTTCTCCTCGATCAACGATGTTCCAGAACGGCCATCCCGTTCGAGCCGTCCTCGATCGTTTCGAAACGAGTTACCAGGACAGTAACGGCCCGAGGAACCGGAAGAGAACGGGTACCGAACGAAGGCGAATAAAGTAGAGAAAACGTAATATCCCGAAGTGGAGAGAAAATTCGAGACAAGTGAGGGTCGTCGTGGACGCTTATTGCGAGTCTTTTTATCCTCCCCCTAGCCCCCCACTGTACACCTTCCTATCCCCTTCTCCTCGTTCCACCTTCTCCGCACACATTCGGCCCTTTAAACTTCCGGTCGGCCGAAGATTCCGCGATAAGTGGCCGGGGGCCGGCTTAAACTCCGGTAATAAGTTCGGCAATAAGTTCCATGGAAAGTTTCCGGCCTCGACCAACCCTTCATCCCCCTACCCCTCGTGCTGGAGCGACAGAGAGAATCCCCCCAGCGAAATTGCGAGCGTCCCGACGCCACCAATCCCGCAATAAGCTCTCGTTACACGGTAAGGAGGACACCTCTTTTTCTCGTTTCGAGAACGAACCGGTGGACCCAACCCCCCTTCTGGCTTTCTTCTTTTCCTCGAGATTCATTGAATGGACAATTTTTCGAAGAACGCTCTTTCTCTGCTACATCGGGAAATTATCTCTTGGAGAGAGAAAGGAGAGCCTTTTATTGCTGTGCGCGTGAAGGCCCTTTGATTGCGAATGAGGACTTCCGCTACCCCCTTGGGCACATGGTCGACCATTACCTGCGTCGATCTTTCGTCGTTCCTTGGAATCACGGGCTTCTCTTTTTATCTTTGTTGGAGAATAGGGGTTGACTATTAGGAAAAAATTATTTCAGTTACTATTCGAAGTAAGAAAAAATGACTAAATAGAATATACACCCACGAGCAAGCTCAAAAGTTGATAATTTTTACAAACAAGTTTCCCAGTTATTAAATTTCTCCGTGGAACTTTCCCGTTCGAATTGCTCGATTATTAAAAACAACTTCCATTTTTCGCCCCTCTTCCCGCCCCTCTAAAACATCCAACATTTTCCCATCATCGCGAGGCATTCTGATAATTTTCCTCGCCTCTCGTTTCCCCGGGGTAGTTTCTGAAATTATTGCGTCTAAATACACGCGGTTAATACGCTTTTCGAGACTCGATTTCCATAACGCGGTGGCTCTGTAATGCTACGGGCATATTTTCCACTAGAGAATTTATCCAATACGCCCGCTCGCAAACGGTGGTCGGGAAAGGGTGGTTTAATGCGTTCAATTAAACTCGTTAAAAGGGAGCCGCGGACATTTTTCATCGGCGTTGCCACTCGCGCGGCCAGATCGACCGGCAATAATTACAATCGACCTACATCATTAGCCGGCCCGTAATTAGCGTTAGGTCGCGGCAACGGGGTGGTATCGCGAATACCTACCCTCGGAAGTGGTTTTCCCCTCGTCCACAGGCAGCCACGAAAATTCCAACCCCTCTCGAACCCGACGTTTAAATCGTTCCTATGAAAAAAAAAAAAAAAAAAAAGAACAAATAAAGAAATGCCCCCGAGTGACCTGAATTATACGTGAAATAAGTGAACCGAGACAGATGGAAATTTGCTTTGATCCTTCATAGACAAAATTTGTTTCGTAACTATAAAAAACATTTATGTAACGTAAAACCAATAAATATCAATCTCTAAATACAAATTATCTTAAGTTAGTGTTGATAATCGCTACAAAGAACCTTATCGGATGCACATCACTTTCAACATTTGTTAAAATAATTTTCCTGATAATCAACAGTAATTGAGATATTTAAGGTTGCCACGATAGGTAGGACACCCTGTATATTATCTTCCTTCGTTACGAAACACTCGATCTAAACTCATTCCATTTCCCTGTTATAAGAAGCTCAGGTACCGTTTAGACACCATATTTCATGCACGCTTCATAAATCCTGAAGTTCGACGGAATAGCCCCGATTAATATTCCCAGAACTGCCTGAATATATTCCAAGGTGGGGGCGGTTGAACACGGCTCATTTGAATACACCGGTGACAGGGAGGTCTTAGTACGCGTAATTATTCCGGGCCAAACACCGGTTATCTTTTCCACACACTTTCCGCGGGAGAAGACACATTGAAGGGAGGGGGTAGGGGGGTCGAAAATTCGCAGAACGAAGCTAGGTAAACAAAATTATTCCGACAAAGTCGGAAGGTCAGGGCGGAGTATTGGCCTGGCTGCCTCGAGACGCCACGGCTAACTTTTAATCAGATGCAAATTACGCGCTAATTACCGCGCGACCGTCGTATTAATTAGACCAGACTGCACGGAAAAGTTTGCCCCGGCTAGCCGACCGCCCACGATTTCCCAAGTCCTGTCACCTTCGTTTCCACTCGTTGGGGTCTTAGACGCTGTCATATTTGGAACAATTCTACCTGGAAAATTAAGAGTATTCCTTAGAAGTGGATATCTTCTTTCCCCCAGGAAGATTAGACATTTTTCTCACCTGCTTTACCAATTATCCAAGACAATTTTTTCTTGAGAAAGGTGACAAGTTTTTCAATCACAGATCGATCAGTCCACTACTTTCCAAGTCTTCAAGTTTCCACTCGTTGAGGTCTTAGAGGCTGTTATATTTGGAACGATTCTCCCTAGAAAGATAACCGTTCCCCTTCGAAGTCTGGAAATTTCTCCCCAGCTTCTTATCCAAAAAAAGTAATTACGACCAAGAAAATATCGATGCCTGTCTGACTATTTAGATTGGACAGTGTTATATTCCCCAAAAATCTTCTTCACTTAAGACATCCTTCGCATCTGTTTCACATTATCCACCGCAATTTCTTCCCCAAGAAAGGTGACAAGTGTTCCATTCGTAGATCGATCACGTCGTACCGGAAATTGAACGTTTCCTGTCCCTGTTAAATAATAATTCTTGTACAGTCGACGAGAGATGCCATGAAAATATATGAAATCATTCCGAGTTCTCCACGATCTATTTTCAGGCGGGAATCTCGACCACCTGCAACCTTTCGAGCGTCGCCGCACCATTGCCAATAAAACGTCGCAGTAAAATGGTGAACTTCTTGACTGACATTTCGGTAGGAAATAATACATTTAAACACAGTACTCCGCAGCAATGGTTAATTCATCGCGACATAGATGAATTAAAACGTTACCACGAATCGTTTGATTCTCATCTCGAAAAGTGACACATACAGACACGATGCCATATGTCCCGTGGACCAGTGAAATCGAACGTTATTCAGGGAAATTCAGACGTACCATTTCCACCCGCTGCATTCGTTTCTTGGATAGAAACGTTATATAGATCACGTACACGGTACCAGCTGGCTCGTGAAATCTGCACGAAAATCGTAGATAAATATTTGACCGAGGAAGGAATCTTTTGGGATACCTTATCAGATACAGATCGTGCTTATTCTCTTTCTCCTGTATAGTTTATCCGGCACGAATCGTATCACAGCGTATCGAATAAATTTCAATAGAATTTTTCTATTGATCAAAGCAATTAGTACCTACAGTCGACGATTGATCGAGTCGTCTCAAGAAATGTGATTTTTAAAATTACTTTGTTTTTTTCACGATCATTCTGTTCTTCAACGATAACATCTAGGGGAGAATGAGGTAATTACGAACATTTAAGCAAAAAAAAACAGAAAGAAAGCTGAATGAAAAACGAATTTGTTGATTACTTATAATCATACTTAAACTATTCATCTACAAACTACTATATCCAGTTTTGGAAAAATTATAACAAAAATCGATTTTTTAGTGAAAAAACAAAACCTTCGTGATTACCCAACGGCAGTTGGGCTAGTATAAGAAGAAGATCATTTTTCCATTTTTAACACACCGTAACAATTACGTTCGCGATTACCCCACTCTCCCGTACCTATTCATAACGAAATAGTACGACAGAGTATGGATAATTTTTTGTTTCCAGACGACCGTAAGTCGAGCTTCCACAGGGGAGAATTTCGATTAAGAATAATTGTTTTTCTCGCCACCCAAGCTTTTCCCCATTATTTACATTCCCATCGAGTCGTCCCCGTTGGAACACGCTCGTTCAACGTCAGTACATCGCCGGAATTTCACAGGCTTCTTGTTCTCTCCACCTATCTCTCCCGTATTCCCCAAGAAAAGGTGTGCACGTACGAGAAGGATTCCTCCGGGACGGCTTTTTTATTTATCGCCGTCGACTTCCACGAACGGGGTACGGTGGCGAGAGGATAGAAGAAGAAAAGGGATGGAGGGTAGAGTTCTTTTCTTCTGTCTCTCTACCTATACTCCCCATATCGCTGTGTTTTCTCGAGAAATCGTCTCCTTTTAGATTCCGACATCCCCTGGGCTCTTGCTCCGGGTCCGTACGTGACGTGCCCTTGAACGGGGAAAATATTTTCACCGGTGAAAAACAATGAAAATGGAGAAGAAAACACGTCGAAAAGAAAGTCCCGTTTCAATTTAATTCGACTACGTGGTAACTGATTCACGTGAAAAATGGAATTTTATTCGTTAAAAAAGATCTCTGCGTGGTCGATTCAAAGGTTCGTCGAGCTGCAAGCATCGAAAGTGGAAACCACTTTCCGTTTCCACTTTCTCTTCGTCGACCCCCACCCCCTCTGTGTATCTCCGCGAAAACTTGCCCCGCTCGTGTATTCTCATTGGTAAACCTCGACGATGCCCTTGAACGGAAAAATATTTCCCCCGGAAAACGACAAATTTCCCTGGGGATTCGCCGAGGATCCAGCAGAGAGTATACCTGTCTGTGCGAGAAACAGTTCGAAATGTGTGTCTGTGCGTTCATGTTCCACGTGTTTTTTTACGGGTTGTTTGTGCTACAAATGGAGAAGTATATACGAAATTTTCAGTTTGGAATTGTTGTAACATTTTACGAGGGTTTGTGGTTTTTGTCAATTGTTAACGAAGGACCATTCAGGCTGAGTTTTTTTCTACCTGATTTTTCAATGGTGATACGTATATCTGGTGTTATACAATAGTATACATATATTATACTCCCAATTATAAATTTCAGAACATTTATCGAATATGCAGTAAATGTCACAAGATATCGTGAAATTGTCGAAAGTCTGAATTAAGTATAGTTTAGCAATGAATGTGTTCAAAAATACAAATAATTTTTATGAAGCATAATACAGTGACTCGCATACATTGAAAATAACAATTAAATGTAAAAATTTTCATACAATTTCTGTTCAGGTGTTTTGTATTATTTGTACTTTTATTATACTTTAGTGAAGAGTTTTTCTTAATTTTGAAATGAAATTCGTAATTTAGTACGTGTTTTTGCCAAATAAAGATAACAGTCTTTCGTGAACAAATCTGTTAGTGATTACATTTTCGTCGTACAGAGCAACTGTCTTAATATTTGTGTGCGGTAGTGTACTTCCTTTACCGATAAAAGTCTAAATATTACGATTATTCAATTGAAATTTTGATGGTGAAATTTATTTGTGTAATACAATGGGGAACGCAATAACAAAGACACATATTTATCGCGGTGAATAAAATTATTCTCGTGTCGCGTATCGAATCGACAGTCTCGACAATTCATGGCACCTTATATGTACAGGACTACTCCGACCGAAGAGAGTTTGGTGACAATAGTATTTGTTTCTGTGACAGGTTCCCTCGACAGCAGCAGACTCTGCCGAATCACTTTTATTTCACCGACTTCGAGAGACACACGGCCGAGATCGCAGCGTTCCATTTGGACAGGTGAGCGGAATATTTCATGTATTTCCCAAAACGACCGTTTTCTGTACCGATTAATTACACATCGACGAATACTAAATTACATTCAGAAACAACTGATAACTCTAACGATTCGCCAGGGAAATTGAATTTACCCAAAGTTCCCTCCCCTTAATTGATTAATTGATTTTACGAACAAAATTATTTCTCTTAAACAAAGAAAAAGATATTTTTTGCATGCAGTTATTTCTTGGACGTCAGAAAAACAAGAACATTGTCTACTTTCTTCACTTTCGTATTACAATAGAAATTGTAAAAGATTTGAGGAAATGTATTGTTATAACATTTTAATCATCGTTATAACAGTGTACTTGTACTGGTCAGTCACTTTGACTTGTTTAGTAATTCTAGTATTAATACTTAAAATACCAAATACTGAAACTCATACTCAAACACAATCGATCGAACATTGTACACAGCCAACGAGTGGTTCGTTGATCTAACTCGAGGCTAAGCCTTCCCCCTCGGAGAGTTTTCCTGATTCAATCCGAAAGTTTTTCAACAGTTTCACCCTCGCCATCGAACAATTTGTTTGCAGACATTTGGGATTCCGAAGGGCGATGCCAGTCACGGGTAGAACGTTGAACCTGACGACAGAGATCTATCGGATCGCCGACGGCGAGCTCCTGAAGACGTTCTTCGTCAGTCCAGCTGGTAATATCTGCTTCCACGGGAAGTGCAGTTATTACTGCGATACCGCGCACGCGATCTGCGGGAATCCAGACACCCTCGAAGGGAGTTTCGCCGCGTTTTTGCCGGACAAAACGATCGTCGCGAGGAAAGCCTGGCGGCACCCCTGGAGAAGGAGCTACCACAAACGGAAAAAGGCGCAGTGGGAGCACGGTAAGCGGTTTCACGTTGACAAATTACACCCTATAGGGACTGTAAACTGGTCTGAGGAACTATACATATTAATTATAAGTTACTGGTGGGATCATTCCACGTAAAATCGATCACTATTTGTAATCGATTTGAGGGATTTCGTTCAAAATTAAATATAATGCAGTCCGTGTGAAATTAGGGGGGGTTTAAGTCATCATTTTGATAGTGTTGCATTTGTTTAAAAAATACAGGCCGTGGAAGTTTGCAATTTTCTGAACATTTCTCGCATTGCCACGTTACAATGTCCTAACCTCGTATAATTGAGCTACAGTTATCGTGAAACAGTACTCTGATCTCAATCTCTAATGCAACATCCGTCAGAAATGATTAAAAATATGTGGGAACTGAAATAACAAAACACAATTCGGAACTAAAATAATGCAACGTAAATTAGAAAACTGTTGCAACATCGGGGACTGAAATAATTCAACGTAATTTGGAACTGAAATAATGGAACGTAAGTCATAAAACGATTGCAAAATCTGGCACTGAAATAGTTCAACATAATTTGGAACGAAAATAATATAAACACGCGTCAGAAACAGTGGTATAAATTTAGAGCCGAGGCAGTTCATCATAATTTGGAACTGAAATCATGCGATATAAGTCAGAAACAGTGGGCTAAATTTGGCAGTGACATAATTCAACATAATTTGGGACTGAAATACTATAGCATAATTCAAAAACAGTGCATAAACTTTGGCACCGAAATAATCCAACACAATTTGGGACTAAAATAATTCAACATAATTTCAAACTAAGATAATCCAATATAGGTCTCTGTTAGGTTACAAAATTTAAGACACAAATGCATTGGGAGATGAGAAAAAGCGGGCCTTCGATTCTCCACTTCGATTGAATATTTCCATTCAATATTCCGCCACAATATACAACTTTAAAGTGTGCATTTAAAACGCAAGGTTGGATAGGAGTTTGAATGGAGGCTCGAATTCTTGGAAATACCGTGACCCAGTTCTTTTTTCCTCCAGGAAATGCGTATGCCAAACCACAGTGGTAAAAACCGTCGAGTCAGCGTCTGTCGCTGACCAGCTCACGTGCACCGAGATTGGGGCAGGTCGGGTGCAAAGTGTGAGAGTGAGAGAGAGAGGACAATATATGGAGGATAGATTATTAAAAATTATCGTGTTCGCCTGCTTTATCACTTTAGTGATAATATCTGGAATATTTCTTACCGATCGACAGGACGAAACTTCGTTAAATTTAAATGACATCGCTCCTGGGAAAAATTATTTCTCGTTATTAGTTAACTGAAAGATGGTTAGTTGTTAAAGGGTTAAAATGACTGTTCGTCCTTTATTTTATGAAAGAAAAATTGTTGTACAAGATACCAAAAGGATGCAACGATCGGGTTAAACGACGATATCTCGAGAACGGGGGAATCGGTATCAATACGAAATAAAAAGCGTAATGAAAGAGTAAGGTTTCCCGGCTTCTAAACGCGGGGTTCACGTGCAAAATAACCTCATGGATATTGTCGTGGGTAATGATAGATGAAAGCTTCGGTAATTTCAATGCGTGCCACACGTGCATTTAGATGCATTTTCGCGATAGAACGGTCCTGAAAATATGCTTGTCGATTAGTCGTGACGTTAACGTTAGGGAATTTTGTTTGTTCTACCGAGTAAACTCTTGAGCGAGGGGAGAGTTGATGGTAATGTCGATAAATGTCTCGTGTCATTTGCCTGTATCTATGAATCATGAAACGTTTATGCGATAGAGCGAAGAAAAAAAAATTGTAATGTCTCGTGTGTCGTTGAATGCTTCCAGATTCCGATTACTGTTCCCTGGTCAAAGAGATACCACCGTATGATGAGGGTCGTAGGCTCCTGGATCTGATGGACATGGCTGTGTTGGATTTTCTCATGGGGAATATGGACAGGCACCATTACGAAACGTTCAAGATATTCGGGAACAACACGTTTCCGTTGCACTTGGACCATGGTAGAGGCTTCGGGAGGCCGTTCCACGACGAAATCTCCATTCTGGCGCCCATACTGCAGTGTTGCATGATCAGACAGAGCACGTTGAGCACGCTACTGAAGTAAGTTCTTTTGGAAAATTCGAGTATCTTTGATCTTCTCAGAGATTTGAGGCACCATACTGTTCTTACTGTTGAGGTGTGTTCTTGTGGAATTGTTTTCCCAACACGTTTCAGAAGCATTGCAGCTAGCTTCGTTAGGAGATCGAAAGACACACTGATACTGGTGTGTGCCTTGTGGTGCTCCTTTCATATACTATTCAGCTGACTAATTAAAATTTCTTTTGATTGGTAAACAATTAACCGCAACATGAGCAAACTTCAGTATATGAGAGGAGCACACTGATCTGTATATATGGATACAGGATGGGGGCTTCTAAGCATAACATGGGTTGCTGCATTTTGAAGGTACACCATCTTTGAGAATAAACCACCTTCGCCACCTAGATAGATTAACGGTAACTCACGCTTTCCATTCACATGTATACCTATTTTATATATATTAAAATGGTATACCACGACCCCATCCCGTATCCATATACATATACAAATCACTGGAGGAGCATCACAGATGCCCACTTTTCTTCCAGTTATTATTGAATCACCATATAAACTATAATTTTGCATGAAACCTAGCAATCTACTTACAAGCACCAGTATACACTCAACAGGCACAGTTTTCCAACACCAACAACTTAATCATCACCACCAACTCATCAACCAACAAGTTAACACATTCCCACTGAATACCAGATAAAATCCCTCCACGTTCTTCCTAACACAATTTCCACCATTCTTCCCCTTCAAGTTCTCCACTCGTACATACGCAACAATTCTCTCCATATCCACCCCCTAGGAAAACTCCCACGCTGCCAATTAATTTCTCAGACTCGCCATTAAAACCCATAGTACTCTCCTCGATCCTTCCCACATTTCCAATTCCCCCGCGATCATATCAAAGCCCAGTTAGCACGTGCATAGAGGATCGATCGATCGATCAAGGATTTACAATTCACAGCGTCGATGGCCCACGTCGAACGGCCTCTCGCCGCAGATTTCGAAAAAAAGGGGAACCCCCTGGACAAGTTTACGAGCCGTAGCGGTCGAAGGGTGAGAGAGTGAAGGGGTGAAAGAGGGTGGGCAGGCGGCCGCGGATAAGGCGGATTTCGGAGTGAAACGTTTTACCAGAATTGCCCGAGCCGGTACCGTCGCGCTCGTGAATCTCCGCTTTGATGCGGATTCACCAGGATAGGAGGGGTGGGCGAGGGGGAGGCTTTTTACGGGCGCGATAAATTCGACGAGAAACGGATTTCGTCGACACGCGTACCTCCGTTCACGCGCCTGGTGACCGATGCACGATCTATCCACATCCCCTCCACCCCGTCCCCACTTTCTACCCCTCGTACAGGCCCCCGATTATCGATTCGGGACTCTGTGGATGCTTAAGCTATCGTTACGATCCGCTAACTGTCGTGGTCAATGTATGTGTTCTTGGTTATACAGGGTGGAGCAATAACTATGTCCACTTTGAATATTACCGTTATTTGTAATAATAAAAAATGTTGTATACAAAACTTACACGGTATAGAGGCGGGCGTATTGTGACACAAACATTTTTTGCGTGGGTAAAGGCATTCATATTTCAAGGTCATCTCTATTTTTTTTTAATAGAATGCTATGTTTTTTTTATCGCGATGCGATAGCCGGTGTTGAGACGACTTCAGCGAGCTGTCATTGAAAGTCATGCAAGGTGGAATGTGGTAGTCAGGAGTGACTCATTTCACAAACATAATTTTTGTTACACCCTGTATATATTGTATATATTTATATACCTGGTCAGGCGTCGAGATATTGTACATGTATATATGTATATCTATATCTTCGACACCTGGCCAGTGTCTCTCGATAAAAATGGAGCATTCCGTAGATTGAATTCCCGGGTCCACGACGGGGGGATTTAAACCTGTACATCTTTCCCTCGCCCTTGGACGGTGAGAAACGATTTTTGAAATCCTTGCTTATCGAACGATTTATTCCTTCTGCTTTTTTTCTTTTGTTCTTTTGAACACGTTAGATTGATCACTGTGAAAGTATTTCGTGTATGAAATTTCTTTATTTATTTTTAGATAATTTTACAGTGATTGGTTAAAGTACGTATACCGTCGTGGCTGTCAAAAACTTTCGGCCAAACTGTAATTTCAATATGTCTTTGGAAATATAGAGGGTGGTTCCGAAAGTTATGTACAAACGGGCATCAGGTTATTCTGCGTGAAGAAATAAGTCGAAATTATAGAATAAAATTTTTTCATTCGAGACTTTGTTTTCGCGAAAATCAAATTTGACGATTAATCTGAAACGCGTGTATTCGTCGTGTTAGTAAGTAGAAACGGACTGCAATGAGCAGACGGGCCAGCCAAGTTGCATCCAATTGCACGCGTATGCAGCAGATTTTCAAATTCGATTATCTCTGAAACCAAGCATAATAGGAATAACTTTTCTTCTATATTATTTTCTCATCTTTTTATGAGGATTCACCCAATGCATGTAACGAGTAAACTCTTCATATACCTATATTGAAAATACATTCCTTCTTCAGATTTTGTGATATTAAAAACATTCTTGCGCAAAAATGATCTGTCCTTCTGTTTCCAACAAATACTAACAGTTATCGTAAAATCACAGTTCGACCGGAAACTTTTGACAGCCACTATATTTGAACGCGTAGACCAGAAATATCCGATCTGTGAAGAAAATATTGAAGAATTTAATCGCGTTTTCGAACTGGTTATCTTGATATGTAGTTATTGGAGGAGTCTATGTAGCTACACGAATGAAATCGTGCTGCTCGTTGAGGACGCATTAAAGAAGCCCACACGCTGTCCGTTAAACCCGATATTATAGGATAATTGCATCCTGTGGCGACTTCGTTGCAGCTACTTCATTCGTGTCAGTCACGGTTGCTTCTTTCATTATGACTTCGTTTTTGCCCTCTATCCAGCCTCGACTCGACGGTGTATCAACATCGTCACGGTCCTTGGAGTACGTTACTAGATGATTAAATTTGTAATTCAACCTGCTCACCGATTAATTGGGCTAACGAGACACCCGTGTACATACTCATCGTACACGTAACACGAATACAGCATATCGAGATTCAAATTCCTGAATTCGATATCGAGGAATTTCGATGTGTATTTCGTAGAATGAAAAAATATTAAAAAAAAGGCCAAACACTGTAATGAAATGATTGCTAGACTGCGGATTTTTATATATTTATAGTATTTCTTAACTTGAACAATGCAATAAAATAAACGTAATGAAGTATAATACTGTTTGTTCGTTATAATTAACGCAGTAAAATCTTCAATATAGAATGCAAGATTATTCTTCATTTTAATATTTATATATCAGTATCTAAAATGTTAATTTTCCAAAATTTCCGCAGTCTAATGATTACTGTAGGCAATTAAATCGTCGAAAGCCTAGTGTGTCGAAGTGTTTTAAATTCAAGTCAAAGAAAGATCGATCACTCGAATATCGTTGCGAACATCCAGACGATCAGTCTCGATCCGCGTTACGATAAGGCAAAAGATCGCGAGAGGATCCGTCATCCAGGGTCATCAATTTCCACACCGACCATAATCGTTCAAACCGTATAAAAGCTGCTGCTCGATCGAGTCTTTATCCGTCTGCCGTCCCGGGCACGCTTTTCCCCTCTCCCTTGTGACATCGGGAAGTAGCCAGCCGGAAAAGTGTACCTTCATCCGCTTACTTCTTTCCAGAATCCGTCCTTAAATATACACCGCGCCTGGTACACACTCGGTGCCCTTTAAATAAGAATTGTATCCGAGACTGAAATTGTTCCCTGTAAAAATGTGTATCTTAAAAATCATTCAATCTAAATTTAATGTATAATATCAACGAGCATTCATTCAAATCCCTAAAGTGAAATATTTTGTAACATTTATTACGATACGACATTAAAGAAATTAGTTAATTTATAAATTCGCAAATTTTCAAAAGTTTGCCACATTTATCGATCGAAAAGCCGCGTTTATCGTTTGTAGTTCTAGTGTTAACGAGCTCCCTGGTATTAATTTACCAACGAGCAGTGGTAAATCGCGAGTGGCGGCATTACAATTATTTTCTATAAACTAGAACGGTGCATTAAGTTTCCGTGATCCTCGGTCAAAATGGACCCAGTTGTTTAAGTATTCAAAGTGATAGTTTCCAAACGAAGTGCGTATTGTATCACCCTATATATTGGTATAAACAGTGTCCACGAGCCGTAGCGCTTAACTCGATACTTTATTCATTGTCTTTCACGCCAGGGGAAGATCTAGATCCCCCAACCCCTACGTAAATCTCAATACGAACGTTCGAACCACTCTAGATAACTGTCCACGTCATGAAAATAATCATCGAAGATCATCGAAGATGATTATTTTCATGAAAAAATTTGCCATCGAAGATGATTATTTTCATGACTGGGGAATTGGAAGCGGAAAGTTGGTCGCGTGCGTGCACCCCTACGAAGACACGTATCTTTTCGCCGGGCGAGAGAACTTCTAATTACGGGAATTTGCATTTTTATTAAAAAAAAAAAAAAAAAAAAAAAAAAAAAAAAAAAAAAAAAAAAAAAAAAAAAAAAAAAAAAAAAAAAAAAAAAAAAACAAATAAAAGAAAAGCTCAACGACGATCGATTTAGAGGGTCACGTTTTTTAATCTTTTCGGTGCGCTCGACGACTTCGACGCGGATTAGCATGTTTATTAAAAACGATCGACTTACTTCGATCCCGGTGAATATTGAAAGTGGAAGCTGTATGGAAGTTTTTCGGCGTCGAAAGGACCACTACTATGACCGGGATATCTGAAAATTAAAATGGAGCATAACTTTGAATTCTGCACTAGAATTTAACTTAATTGATACTTTATTTTACGTCTAAATACAGTAAATTCTCGATATACTTGTCGGAAGGATATTTACGTTATCTACTTCTGCTTCATTCCAACTACTAGGGGCTTCCACGCTTGGCCCGAAAAACCAGTTCGTTTTGTTACACCCTGTATATCCATAGCAAGCTTTCGTCACGAGGAATACTCAGTACTCAGTAGTGATCCATATGAAATTTAACGATCCAGTTGGAAATCCATTTCGAATATGAATTTCAAATCCCAGATAGAAAGATACGTGGTTCAAAGAAATATTAGGTTCCTCTTACACGTCTGTTATCTCAGGTGAAAGTATACATCACCTGTTAACCATTTTTCCCTTTCAGATTCCATAACGGGCCGGTGCCTCTCAGCGAAGCTATGCGAAAAAGCATAGCGAGGGATCCAGTGGCACCAGTTCTCTGGGAGCCTCATTTAACGGCCCTCGATCGAAGGGTGCGCGTGATACTTCAAGCGGTCCGTGACTGCATAAATCGCGAGGACTCGAGCCAGGTAGTCCACGAGAAAACCGAGGACGGTGCGTCCTAACCCTTCCGTGGATTCTCGGTGAAAAGGACGATCCTGAAATTCTGGACGCAAATGAACCATCGAGTTCGTCGCGACGGTGCATCCTCGTTCGTTGTAAAAAGAATCTGTATAAAGACGTGTATAAAGATTATTATGGTGACTGAATGGGGATATGTTCGCGTGAGTGACCGTGAATGTTTCTAAATTATGTGGTCCAAGGGAATATTCGTGAAAAAAAAATTACGATTTCTTGTATCATCGATCGGCAATTTAATGACACCGAGTGGATTCGGTGCCTCCACGAAATCGTTACTATACAGAGTTGGGCAGAATTTTATTTGAATAGTACACAGTGAAAAGCAGCAGTATCTAAGGGTGTTGTTCTGAGCTTTAAACAATTAATGGGATTAAATAACTGTTCGACAAATATCGATTCATTCATAAACAAGTATTATTTTATTATGAAAATTGAAATTTCCACGTTTGAACAATTAAAAATGACGTGATACTGTTTTTATCTTTTATTCGTTATTCGAAACTTTTTATCTAGACAATTAGTTTGCCCATCTCTATTACTATCACTATTCTATTCACTTTTTTATCTGAACAGAATCTGTACAAAGGACTTTTTTTTTGTCTGAACAGACCCTGTACAAAGGAGGGCTGTATATAGTGTACGTATCGCGACGTGGGTGAAATTATCGAATCAAAAACAATTGGACCCCACCCGCTTTCATTGTACATATACGGACGAGACTAGAGAAGGGGCTAGAATATTTTCGAATTTTAGGTATGCTCGTGAGTCTGATTGCTGGCTGGTTTCCTCGCTGAAAAGTCGAAGGTGGTTTCCGTCAAAGTGTCTTATCTTGTCAAACGAAACGCTGCTGGTAAAATCATTTTTTGATAATTAAGATTCGGTACGTTCGCGTTTTCTAGCAAGAGATATAATTCTTTGTAAGTGTTTCGTCGCCACGGAAACTTGCTTTTCACCGAAGACAGCGACGGGGTGTTCCTCTGGTTCCATCGCGGAATCGAGTACTCGTTCCATCGCCAGTGTGGAATTATTATACGAAAGAACGAATGAGTGAGAGAGAGAGAGGTATCTTTTGTAACGTGTGCTTTTCATACGCATGTACATCTGTGACTGTTTCCAGAGTGCACCTGTACCCGTAAATGGTTTTTTTTTTTTGTCTGGGCAACGAGGAAAAGAAATGAACTCTGTTGGAGAAACCGATGGTGTGTGTGTCGTTTCGTCGCCTGCAACCCTCGACCCTGGAAACATCGAAGTTTCCTCCCGTTCTTTCTACCTTCCTACTATTCCAAACTTTGGTAAGATACCTGATATTCCATTATTATTCAAACTATTCCAAATGATTTCCACTATTCAGAATTTTAGTGAAATTTCGCCAGTTTTCGATCTTTCAATTAACCATCGTTGATTTATTAAAATCGCGGATGAAAGAACGCGGTGAACCGCGTGGAAAGGGACGAAAAGGAAACAGCGAAAACACGGCCAGAGGAAAAATCAATTTTCCCGTAGTTTCATCAAGCGAATCTGAAAGATTCAGAAGACCTTTTAGTTACGTCCTGCGCCCAGGATTTAAGAGTTTTCGCGGCCGGATTTCATTATTAAGCACTTCCACCCCTCCGTCGTGAAACGTTTTCGTCGTGTGCCACTGTTCCGGATCGTCCTCCGTTCGATTCCGCCTATTTTTCGATGGAAACTCGCGAGAACATTTCAATAATCCTTCTCTGTTCAGATCAAGGGAACAATCGTCTGGCTGACGAAACGAATCGAGGGACTTTGGTACGAATCATATGGATTAATTTCCATCGCGACCACTGAAATAATTAGAAACGCGTTATAAACTCTAAAAACCCTACCAGAAATGATTTTGTATTTCCCTGGTCGAGTAAAACTTGCGAACAGCAATTTATAAAACGCTGACTACTTTTCTGGAACAACGTTAAATCGAAATTGCAACGAAAGTCTGTCGAGTTCTCTCTGTCAGCGATTAAACCCTCCCAGCATCGATTAAACCCACTTTGAATATTGGGAGAACTGTTTTGAATAGTTCTGAAATTAGTTGAAAATAGTTTTGTGCTACCAATTTGAAAATTATTTTCTACCGAAGAGTATCAAAGAGATCGGACGTCTGACTCGATACAGGTATTATCCGCTTAATCTTGTCTTTAACGTCAAATAATAACTTATACCAGATTAAGAATAAGGTATGAAAATTATTACCTTTTTTTCACAGTCGTTTACGACAAAAAGAAATATTGTAAATCATCCGACATCCGACTAATGCATGAATTTGCCTACTTAAATAGAATTTTAAATCGAAAAAGATATTTCTTTTCGATGTGGAATAAGATTTTGGAATTTTCAAGTGTTCGTCGCAAAAAAAAATGTTGCCCGTTCACGGTGTTATTTTCCCATGGAAGATTCGGGCTGGTATTCGAGGGGGAAACAAGTTTTTCCAGAATGTTTTTCGCAACATTGTTCCAATGATGATGGTGCCGCTCAGATATCCTCGCGGAAGTTCCTCGCCGACGCCGCCGTCTCGTTTTATCCTCGACGCTAGTACCCCTATTTCAGAGGAGGGTGGATGGATAGTTTGGTCCCGCGGAACTTTTCGCCTTCACGTGCAAAGGTAAACGTTGGAATTTTCCCGAAAGATCAATAAAAGTGCGCGAACTCTGAAGACGACGGAGCTGTCTTTCGAAACTTTCCATTTCTCGCCGCGCAGAATCTGCGTTTAATCAACGCTCGTTTACGAAACGGAATTATCGAAAGGATCGCGTTAGACACGTCTCGGATAATCCCAGCATATTATAATCCTCCGGGGAACTATTCCCTGGAAGATAACAGAAACATTCCGACAAACGTATAATTTAATAACCATCAACAACGTTATATCAATATTCGTATTATTACAATAGAACATTGCACATTATTACAATTTTCCCTATATAATTAACGAATCGTCGTGATTATTGCACCAATTAATTTCACCAGTGCCATGATATTCAACGATATTCGTAGAGGAACATCATTTGCTCGACAACTTTTCGAAAAATTAATTTCGAAGCTTATCAATAGACTCCGTAATGTTTGATAACGTTTAATGAGACTTTCATTTCATTTATCCTGGAAGAATACTGAATATAAACTGAATACATTTTCGTTTGATTCCAGTTTCTCGGAATTAGCTCGTTCAAATCTACATTCCAATGAACTCACGAACCGTAATCTACTTATCTCTCAATGTTTTAACTAGAAAGAATTACATTCAGAGGATTTTCAATTGACGAATTATGCAGAGTGTTTCCAAAATCGTGGTACAACCCGAAAGGATGTGATTCTAAATGGAACAATTGTAATGAATAATTATTCGTTAGACGATATTATAATGTGTTTGATTATTTCACTATGTTCCTGCTTCTATGATATGAAACATCGTAAACTTTAAACTGAAATTTTCGCAATTTCAAAACTAATCGACATAGTGGACCTAATCTGGCCCCTACTTAGTTACGCCAATGATACTGACCAGTAATTTTCACTGCTTTGGTAGTTCTACTTGCCTGTAAAATGGTAAAGTAAGAACAACCCCGTTCAATCCAGAAACAATCGATCCGCCAGCTTTCACTCGATCAAACATCACTAGGATATCTTCTCTCTAATCCGTCCAGGTTTCTATCGTGCCCGGCGTATCAGAGGGATTACTGTTCGAAAACAATCGTCTGAGTGGCTAAGGTGACGCTGGTTTCGTACAACTACCTATTCCGGATCTCCAAATCAGTCTTGGTAGTCGTCTTAGGTCGGTTTACCAAGTGGTTCCTGTAACCGACAGGACCGTAACACGATCTGAATCCCCCTTTACCAGACGAAGGGGTGGGGAAAAGGGACGAAGGGAAGGAGAAGGAGCGAGAGGGTGGTTGGCACCGACACAGCGGAGGATTGGGAAGGATATATCCTGTTAATTACGCGATCTCGGGTTTGCCTATGACGTTAGACGTCCCAGGCAGGACGTCTGTTCTCTGACAGCTCGAATTTCCTATGTAGACGAATGTGTAATCTCGAGGAACCGGTGCGGTGGTTCGAGAGTTGTGCTCTGCCAACGACAGAATTCAGGTAAACAACCGGAAGAATGACCTGATCCGATTAGAAAGTATGGTGGGATATTTTAGACGTTGTGAGGATAAGGGAAATTTAAGTAGATAAGGATGGACTGTAGTCAGACGTTTGATTGAAGGAAATAGAGTATTGTGTGATAGTTTTTATTGAAATTCCGTGTGTAGGAAGGTCTGGAACGGTTCTATGTTGCAAGATGAATGCCTATTGTTGCGGTGAATAGGTAAATCATAGAAGTATCGATCTCTGAGAATTCTTCTATAGACGGTTTAAGTAAATTAAATTCCATTCGATAGTACGTGTAGATATGAATTTCTTAAGGCTAACAGAAGCTATTAACCCTTTAACACCCAATGTTAGGTGTACGTCACATCTAGAAATTTTCAAAGATTTTGTCGTCAAAATACGAATTAGATGCACGTGGTGGGACCATTTGTGAGTTAACCAATCGCGAGATATAATATTTTCTTTCCCGAAAGAGGTGTTTATGTGTTAAAGGATTAAAAAGAAATTTAAAAAATAGGTTAGTTTAATACCGATATTTTCGACTAAAAAATAACAAGATACAATATATATATATATATATCAGTCTCATAATTTTGGAGTAACGATTTAAGTGTCTGGGCGTTAAAGGTTTAAGTAGATATGGTTCTGCAATGATCAGACGTTCGTTTTTTCCCCAGTATAATTTCTTTCACGAATACACCGAATTATTCCTTCTGCAAATTATTTTTTTTTTTTTTCAATTTCTTCTTAATCTCTTTCTAATTCTTTAGTCTATGTCAGTAACTGACAAAACCTTAGAAGATTCTAAGTAGAACAGAGTGAAATTGGAGCGACAACGAGGTGAACGATCAGACTGCATCGCGATAACAACATGCCCGCTTATTTTCTGCGGGTCGTCGCGTTCCGAAGGGCTCTGACGATAATTTCGAGGCACTTCCGGTCGACACGACCGCGTCCTGGAAAGTTGAGCGAGTTTCAGCGCCGAAAACTTTTCGAAAATTGGAAAAGACTCGAGAGGACCGAAACCGCTTCCCCAGGTACTCTCTGTCTCTCTTTCTCTCTCTCTCTCTCTCTCTCTCTCTCTCTCTCGTTAGTCTTTCGAAAATCACAGAAAACTAATAATACAATAATTGACACGTGCAAATAATAACTTCCTGCGGAACAAGGCGCCGCCGCCCTTAATTACTATCTATCCAGCTCGAAGTTTTCGT